AAAACATTAGCTAAACACAGAACTTTAGACACTGCGCAGATGAAAGTCGCTTTTTTTGAAATTGTATTTTTAGTTATAGCTGTAAATTAATTTAATTTGCATGAAAATTAAAGCAGTTCGAACTATGATACCAATAGCAATGAGGGAGTCAAATGTTAGTGAGTCACATACATGATTGTGGTCAGTAAACATAAATGCCAAAAGAATTAGAAAAATGAATTCCCTCTCTTAATACAAGAGAAAAAAACCTTAAGAACATATGTTAAAATTATGTTTTTAGTGGAAAAACAATTGACTAAAATAGAGGAGATAATGGCAGTAACACAGTGTGTCTGTGTAAGCAGATTTTATTTATCTCTACTAAAGATAGTGTGCGAAGTATCAGACGTGTGTTTCAGATGTGGGAGAAAAACGAGTCCTCACTCGGAGGTCGGTTGCAACATGTCAGAGGCAGTTTATTCTCAAGCAATATAGCAAGGGGGAGAATGCACAACGGCAGGTCTCCCAAAAGATCAACAATTAGGGCAAGAATTTATACCTTTTGTGACATACAGTAATGATCAACAACTGCAGTTTGTTTATACATATTCCTTCCTGATACCTTACTTTCCTCAGCAATTTCTGCTACACTCTGTGTTCCGTTCTTATCTAACACAAGGTTGAAACCAGCATCTCTTACAGTTCTTTGCCACTCGCCCAGGCCCTGCTGGGAAGTCTCGCGTTATTAGCTGTTAGAGTTAGCCTGACTCTTGCTCTTCCCGGAAGACTAAGATGTCGGCTCTTTTTCCAACTTCCACACTGATATCTGCGTTAAAGCTCCAGAACTGACACCTCAAGGCTTGGGATTGGGAATATCTTGCTGTATTATCTCCTGATTGTTCTACATTTACATATCAGCTTTAAACATGGCTTTAATTGGCGTTTGTATCTATTGTTTGTTTGTTTCTTTATATAACAATTAGATACAGAGCTCCTGTCAGCTAATCCCGAAGTTATTATCTTGAAAAAAAACGGAGAGTTTTCAGGTGCCTGAGTTGTCCCTGGAATCATGGTTAAAGTTTCCTCCCCCCACCGCAAATCTGAACTGGTGCCCCCGCCCCGGGTGAGCCAGGAGTGGCCAGGGGGCTGCAGGAGGCCGTGGGCTCTGGCGAGATGCAGCCCACGTTTCACAGCGCGAAGCCTTGAGCCACATGCCGAGCATCAGGCACCACAAGGCCCAGCAGCAGCGCAGGAGGGTGGCAATACCCCATGTGCCAGGCCTCCCTGACTTCTGCGCTGCTCCTGGCGGTGGCATTACCTTCAGAGCTGCATGCCCGGCCAGCACCCAACAGTATCAGGCCACCCTGTCAGGGCTTAATTTGAGCCACAGCTGAGCTCTGGCATCTCTTCCAATACAAATTAAACACTGTGGGAGGCAACAGGGCCCAGAGGTGATGGGGGTGAGGGGAGGTCAAGGGAGCCCGTGGGGGGCAGAAGTGATGGGGGAGGGGGTGATGAAATACAAGTTCAGCCAGGGTGCCATTTTCCCTAAGGCTGGCCCTGGTCATAACCATCTTGGCAACAAACAGATCATCTACTGCTCATACAAATATTACAGGCAGCTTCCATGTGCTTCCCAGGCCCATGGGTCTGAGCTGGAGGGGTAGGGAGGGAGCGGGATACTGGGCTAAACAGTTCAATTGTCCTCATCCGGGTGGCAGTCCCCGCAGCTGAGGTCTCATTCTCCGTTTTCTCAGTCTCATGACATTCCAGATCCTTGTCGTCTCTCTGGTGGCTGAGGAACAGCCCGATCTAGAAGCCGAATTCAGGCACCATGTATTCCCTGGCACCCGGCCTGTCCTTCCTTCTGCTTCCACGACAGCAGAAGGGTTTCCTGGGGGAGAGAGAGAGAGAGAGAGAGAGAGATTCTGGGGTACATTAGCTTTCAGAGGGGTAGCCGTGTTAGTCTGTAACAGTAAAAACAACAAGGAGTCCTTGTGGCACCTTAGAGACTAACAGATTTATTTGGGCATAAGCTTTCGTTGGACATAACCCACTTCATCAGATGCATGGAGTGGAAAATATACAGTACATGAACAGATGGGAGTTGCCTTACCAAGTCGGGGGTCAGTGCTAACGAGGACAATTCAATTAGGGTGTATGAGGCCCATTCTCAACAGTTGACAAGAAGGGGTTAATATCAACGGAGGGAAAATTACTCTTTGTAGTGCTAACGAGGCCAATTCATGGCTGGCAGTTGGGATAGCTAGATGGGTGGGATGATAGGTGCGTAGGTAGATGGCTGAGAGGGTGAATAGGTGGCTAGACCTGGTGGTAGGTGGGTAGATGGGTACATAGGTGGGTGGGTAGTTAGTTAGGTAAGTGGGTAGAGAGATAAGCGGTAGGTGGGTAGATCAGTGGTTGGTTGGGTCAATGGGTTGGTAGCTAGGCGGGGTAGTAGGTAGATGGGTGAGTCAATGGTTATATAGGTAGGAAGATGGGTAGGTAAGTGGATGGGATGGTAGGTGGGTGGGTGAGTAGGATGGTAAGTTAGTTGGTAGGGAGCTAGGCAGGGTAGTAGGTGGGTAGATTGGTGGGTAGGTAGCTGAGTTACCATCTGTAATAGAGCAGGGTGAGGTAATAGGCCAGGAAGAATCCAGTCGCTACGAAGATGAGTTTGCAGCTGATTTCGATAATTTCCCAAGAGAGGCCACCTGTGGGAGCTGGAACAAGTCAAGAGTCTGGGGTATATTACTGCAACCCCTGTCCCAAGCCAGCCAGCCCCCGCCCTGGGGCTAGGTCAGAACTGGTGCCTCCTAGAGGGGAAATTCCCAGTCCCATGAGCCAGCTAGGGTGACCAGGCAAATGTTAAAAATCGGGACGGGGGGCGGGGTAGTAGGAGCCTATATACTAAAAAGACCCAAACATCAGAACTGTCCCTATAAAATCGGGACAGCTGGCCACCCTTGAGCCACTCAACCCTGTCCTGGGGCCAGGTCAGAGCCAATGCCTACTAGAGGGGAAATTCTCAGCCCCCTGGGCCAGCCAGTCCCTGCCCTGGGTCTGGGTCAGAGACGGCGCCCCCTAGAGCAGAAAAGCCCTGTGCTGCATTCCCTGCCCCCAGAGGAAGCCAATCCCCCACCCTGGGGCCAGGTCAGAGCTGGCGCCCCCTATAGGGGAGGGACTCTCACCTATTTCTGGTGGGCTCAGCAGTAAAATATGGAACCCGTAGGGGTTGGAGCCGAGGCAAAAGATCTGGTGGCCTCCATCCACGCTCCCCGTCCAGCTCAGGGTGCTGATGGCCTCGTCCCCCTGGGCCCACGAGCTGACCTGCAGGGCCCCCCGTGAGCCGTTCCCAGCCAGGGACTCCCCGTCCACCTGCCACTGCAGCTGGGGTGGGGGGTGGGAGCGCAGGGAGCAGCTGCAGCTGATGCTGGGCCCCTGGCGCTGGCAGGACGAGTTCAGCCCTGTCCCCGGCCGGGGGCTGTCTGGGGAGAGCAGGAGACACAGCGACGTAGTCAGAGAGAGAAACCCAGTGGCAGGGAAACTCATGGGTTAAACCTACTAATACCCAGGGGCAGGGAGGCCCATAGATTAACCTCACTAATATCCAGTGGCAGAAAGACCCACAGGTTTACCCCACTCACACCCAGTCGCAGGGAGTCCCGCAGATTAACTCCGCTTACACTCGACGAGCAGCTGGAATGTCCCCTGGGCAGAGCTCTCATTGTTCTGGGCCCAGCACCCGTACAGCCCCCCGTCCTCGGCCGTCACGTTGGGCAGTTCCAGCCGCAGCTGATTCTCCACCACGGGGCGGGTGCCCTCAACGGCTCGCCCCCCCCTCACCCAGCCCAGCTCAGTGCGGGGGTTGCTGGCGACGGAGCAGAGGAACCGCAGGGAGTCGCCCTCCCGGGCCGTGAGCTGTGAACCGTTCCCCACCAGGGGGTCGGGATCTGGGAATAGAAATAACACAGAACCACTCGCACCCTGAGCCAGCCAGTCCCTGCCCAGGGGCTGGATCGGGGCTGGCACCCCCTAGAGGGGAAAGGCCCCGTCCCCACTCCCCACCCCCTAGTGGTACCTTGGAATAGCTGGGGGTCGCTCCTGTTAGCTCTGGAGATGGTGATTTCCGGAGTCCTCACTGGAGGTGAAATACCCACGGCAACGTATTAGATCAGAGCATGCTCGCCACTGACCCCATGCTCCACAGGCAGCACCGCCCAATGACCCCCCCCACCCCTACCTGAAGCCCAGCACCCTCCCCTGCCCCCCTGCAGCACAGCGCCCCTAATGACAACCCGCCCCCCAGGACCCTCCACTGAGGCCCCTCCCTGTGCACAGCACCCCCTAGAGCCTTACACTGCACGTGCACACGCAGGGCCCGGCTGGCCGATCCGTAGGAATTCTTCGCCCAGCACCGATACTCCCCAGCATCCCCTCGGCTGAGATTCAACAGCTCCAGGCACCCGGCCCCTCCCTGGCCAGGGCTCAGGGACCCATTTGTCCTGGCCCAGCTCAGGGTGGCCTCGGGTTTGCTCACAGCCTCACAGCTCAGACTCAGGGAGTCGCCCTCCTGGGTCTCCAGAGACATGATATCGCCCTCAGCTACCAATGGAGCCAGCACTAGAAGAGACAAGCAAGCGAGTTTGGTCCCCGCAGAGATTCCCCACCTAGGAGCCAAGACGCAGCCACCTTTGGGGTGAGCCACGGGTGCTCTTTATACAGGGACCCTGCGCCTGGTGTGGAGACACAGCCCCCCTCTGGGGTTGATGCACAATCTCAGTGCCAGGCCATGGCAGCAGCAGGTCTCCGTTGCAGACATCGGTCCCTAACCCATCTCCTCCCCGCTGCCCAGCGCCCCCTTAATGCCAACCTGGGGTCCGGAGACAGAAAGAACTGGGCCCACTGCTCCCACCACCCTCCCCACAGCCCTGCGGCTTCCTCGGGCTCTCCCCTCCAGGGACGGACCAGCCTCGCCTCGCTGAGCCTGGCGCCTGGCCCTCAGCGCGGGCAGAGCGTGACTAGGAGGCACTCATTGGTTCCCGGGGCTCACAGCGCGGCCTCTCACCGGGGCGTCCGTTCCTGGTCAGAGTCCCGGTGATGTTGGGGGGCCCGGGTGGGTCTGTAACACAAACCAGACAGGGGGGATCAGGGGGACTGGACAGCACCGGAGGGGGGGTCACTAGTGATCACTGAGACTAGACATGGCCCCTTGCTGTGAGCTCAGCTGGGGGACAGGAAAGTCCCTGATGTGACACAAGACCCATGGGCGGGGAAGGGAAGTGACAGACCCGACCGAGCCCAACCCAAGAGGTGTCCGACGGAACCCAGGGGCCGGGTTAGAGCCGCACCGGGGAACCAGAACCGTGTGAAATGGAAACCCAAGGGACCAAAACCGGTGAGTCAAAATTTGGCCTAATTTGCAGAGTCATTAACAAGGGGCTGGGCTGTTAAGGCCTGGGTACTGGAGCGAGCGTCACCATCTCAATGCCACCGTGTGCTGGGTGCCCGGGCGTTCAGCGTCCTGCTCCCCAAATGTCTCCTCCCCAGGGCAGGTCGGGGCCAGGGGTCTAAATAACCCCACTCCCACCCCCGCCCCAGACCCGGCCACCAGACATCAGAAACCCCCATCCTGGTCCTTTGCCTCCCCACCCAATTCCCCTCCCCAGCCCTCTTCTTTTGCCCACAGGCTTGGCCTGCCAGGCCTGGATATTTTGCAGCCCGACTGTGCCCAGAGGGGTGGCTGAAAGCAAAACCTGGAACAGCCGGACGCTGATACTGGCTGGCCAGGCCTGGCAGGGTCCATCCACGCTGCCCTCAAAGCCCCACGGCACCGAGACTCAGAGCCTGGGTCCGTTGGGTCAGGCTCGCGGGGCTCGGGCTGTGGGTCTCTGATTGCAGCGCGAACATTTCCTCCGAGGTCTGTGTAGACATTTGGGATCAGGCTGGGGCCTGGGCTCAGACATGGGGGGGGGACTGGGGGGTGGGTTCCTTCTAAATCTCCCTCCGGCTGAAGGGAACAAGGGCCGTCCTTACACTGATGCCTGATTTGATCCTTCAAATCGCAAAGGCGGCCGCTGATTTCCCCTCTGGCCTGGATCTGCAGCGCAAGGGTCACGGGCCATTTAACGTGGGTTTCCCTGGGGCAGGGTGGGCCGGGGTCTCTGGGCACTGAGCCCGGAGCATGTTTAGTGCCGGACAGTGACTGGGTCTGGGTGTCATTAAATTTCTGCCCCATATAGAGCATCCACCAATCCCGGCAGAAAAGGGAGGGGATGGAGGAGACGTGGTGGGACAGCCCGGGGGGATCTCAGGGGGAACTGGGATCACTGTTGTGAGGGGGGAATCCCAGCAAGGGGGGACTGGAATTGGGGAGGTTGGATACCAGCACAGGAGGATTCTGGGGCAGGGCAGGGCAGGGGTAGAAAAGATCTCAAAAAAGAATGGCTTGGGGACCTGGGGATGTGGATGGGAGGGGGGAGCCATAGCCAAGGGGGGCAGGAAGGGGTGAAGATCCCGAGGGAGAAGGGGCTGCAAGGTGTGGAGGGAAGGGGCCTGGAGTAGAATTGGCTGAGTGTGCATGGTGGGGGGTGGGGAGCCCAGAGGTGGGGATCCTAGCATAGGGAGCTTGGGACCGGTGTGGAGGGGCTGGTTGGGTCACTCACAGCCAACGTGGAGCCGGATGGTTCTGCTGGTGGAAGGTCCCTGTGCTGAGCTGTAGGTGACGGTGCAGACGAGCTCTTTGCCATTGTCTCCCAGGCCGGGCGTGAAGCTGAGCTCGGAGCTGTGGGCCCAGGTGCCATTCGCCAGCTGGGCTGAGACGTTCCGGGCTGTGTCGCTGAAAGGCCCCATCCAGGTGACTCGGGGAGGGGACCCGGAGCAGCGCCCAGGGGCCGTGCAGGTCACAGTCACTGGCTCCCCGGCCAGCAGCATCCCTGGCACCCTCTGCGCCGGCGAGATCTGGATCTCTGGCTCCTCCGTGAGCCCTGAGACACGAGGAGAGGGAAAAGAATCACCCAGGGACACGGGGCCTTTCCCCTCTAGAGAAGCGTCTCCGATCTGGCCCCAGGGTGGGGACTGGCTGACTCAGGGGGGGCTGATAAGCAGTGACTGCGGCTGCTCTTACCTGGCACGGAGATCTCTAGCATAGGGTAAGTGTGATCGTTATTGGTGCGGTAACTGTATTTAAAGTCTCCTTTCTCGACTCTAAGGAAATATCTCCCCGCATCCGTCCGTCGGGCGTCGCTGATTTGCAGGGAGCAGTCGCTGGGCGCCGGATCCCCCGTCAGCCGGAACCGGCCCTGGGTGTCTTGCGACATGTTCCGGCTGGGGTCACTGCTGGCCACGGGTGGATCATTGTGCACATCGGCCAGATCCTTGTACCAGTATCTGTAGAGCTGGGCCCGGGGATTGTCGGTGTCATACGAGGCTGGATATGTGAAGGTGCAGGGAACAAGAACACAGAGACCCTCCTGCACTGACACCAACTGTGGCACCGTCAGGGTAAATCCGGGCTGCTGGGACAGGGACCCTGCAGGGACAGACAAGGATTGAACTGGGACCCATAGAGAGCAGAGACCAACCCTGAGCTGCACCCCACAGCTCTGCCGGTGCCCCTCACTCCCGACCTACAGCCCCATGCGAGCCCAGCCCTGGGTCCTTGACCAAATCTCACTCCATTTAGTTTCCATTCCTCCCTCCATTGAGCCCCCTGCCCACTCGCTGTCACTCAGCGCCCCCTAGCACCGCACTGGGGCACTGGGCTCCCCTCCCCCTCTGGCCAGTCTCCCTTTCAAGTTCTGGGACAGACCTGGCCCCGCGTAGTGCAGGTTCTGCCCTTCCCCCTGCACTGGGGCTGCAGGTGCTGCTTACTTACCTCTCCAGAGCAGGGCGAGGATCAGGAACCTCAGCATGGCTGCAGGGGGGGCAGCACCCCATCCTCTCCAGGGAGTGCCTTGAGATGGGTGGTCCCGTTCCCCAGATTCCTGCTGTGGCGGCAGGGTTCTGCCCATGGGTGCGGCGTCCGTCTGGGACAGACCTAGAGACAGATGGGGGGTGGGTACTGTGAAAGCGGAGGCTGTGCGGGGGACGACATATCTGCCTGGGGGACCATCTATATTGCCGGGATCTGCAGGCATCTGATCTGAGGCTGCTGGCAGCGCAGTGACACCCCAAGTCACCAGACGGTCCCAAGAGATCGTAGGCTAAAAAATTCCATAAATTGGCAAAAAAAAACCTCTGTGATTTTTCTCTCAGAATCATGTGATCAGCCAGAAAATCCCAAGCTGGTGACAGAAGATGGTGGGAAGGCAGTGCTGCTCAGTGCCTGCTTTGCTTCAGTCTCCCCACAAAAAACAACATGCGAGCGGGCGACCAGCGAAGTTACCTCGTACAGCAAAGGGGAAGAGTTGCAAATTTGGATAAGGAAAGAACATGTCAGAGAAGTTCAGACCAATTTGAATAAATTCAAATCAGTGGGGCAGGATGCTGTTCAACCCAGAGTGCTGAAGGAATTAGTTGAAGAAATCTTGGAGCCACTCATGGATGCCAGGAGACATCCCAGAAGATGGGAGAAGGGCTAACAGTGTGGTCATCTTTAAAAGGGGGAAAAGGAGGAGCCAGGGAACTACAGATCAGTCAGCCTGACCTCGACACCTGAAAAGCTACTACAGCAACGTATAAAACCTTCAATTTGTGAGGACAAAGGGGTGGTCACCAGCATGGATTTACCAAGAACAAATCCTTCCCAACCAGCTTGATTTCCTTCTTTGACAAGGTAACTGGTTAGTAGCAGGGGGAACGCAGTGGACATATATACATGGACTTCAGGAAGGCTTTTGACACAGTCCCACATGACATTCTCATAAGTAAGCTGGAGAAGACTTCTGACGGAACCCAAATGTGAAATTGCAGAACTACTAATTGTGGTATGTAACCTATCATTTAAATCAGCTTCTGAACCAGATGACTGGATGATAGCTAATGTGACACCAATTTTTGAAAAAGGCTCCAGAGGTGATCCCAGCAATTAGAGGCCACTAAGCCTAACTTCAGTGCCGGGCAAACTGGTTGAAACTATAGTAAAGAACAGAATTATCAGATGCATAGATGAACATGATTTGTTGGGGAAGAGTCAACATGGCTTTTGTAAAGAGAAATCATGCCTCACCAATCTACTATAATTTTCTGAAGGAGTGGACAAGGGTGACCCAGTCAATGTAGTGTACTTAGATTTTCAGAAAGTCTCTGACAAGGTCCCTCCTGAAAGGCTCTTAAGCACTATGAGCTGTCATGGGATAAATGGGAAGGTCCTTTCCTGGATCAGTAACTGATTAAATGATAGGAAACAAAGGATAGGAATAAATAGTCAATTTTCACAGCGGAGAGAGATAAATAGTGGTATCTCCTAGGGGTCAGTACTGGGACCAGTACTGTTCAAGATATTTATAAATGATCTGGAATAAGGGGTAAACAGTGAGATGGCAAAATTTGCAGATGATATAAAACTACTGAAGGTAGTTAAGTTCAAATCTGACTGCGAAGAGCTACAAAGGGATCTTACAAAAATGGATGACTGGGTAACAAAATGGCAGATGAAATGCAATGTTAATAAATGCAAAGTAATGCACATTCTGAAACATAATCCCAACTATACATATAAGGTATATAATATAGATATAAATATTTACTCTTTCTAATAACACAAGAACTAGGAGTCCTGAAATGAAATTAATAGGTGGCAGGTTTAAAACAAACGTAAGGAAGTATTACTTCACACAACGCACAGTCAAACTCTTTGCCAGAGGATGTTGTGAAGGCCAAAACTATAACAGGGTTCAAAAAGAACTGGATAAATCCATGGAGGACAGGTCCATCAATGCCTATTAGGCAGGATGGGCAGGGATAGTGTCCGTAGCCTCTGTTTGCCAGAAGCTGCGAATGGGTGACAGGGGATGGATCACTTGATGATTCCCTGTTCTGTTCATTCCTTCTGGGGTGCCTGTCATTGTCCATGGTCAGAAGTCAGGATACTGGGCTAGATGGACCTTTGGTCCGACCCAGTATGGCCGTTCTTATGGAGAAATGTGGGCTCATTGGAACTACCCTTAAGTGGATACGTAACTGGTTAAACAACCACAAACAATGAGTAACTGTTAATGGAATGATGTGGGATTGGAGGGAGGTCCCAAGTGGGGTTCTACAGGGATCTGTTCTAGGTCCCGTGTTGTTTAACATCTTTTTCAATGACCTGGATGTAGGACTAGAAAGCAGACTGATAAGATCTGCAGATGACACAAAGCTGTGGGGGTTGCCAACACTTTGGAGGATGCAGCTAAAACTCAGAGGGACCTCGATAAATTGGAGAACTAGGCTGTAGATGACACAATGAAATTCATCAAGGGAAATGGAAGGTGCTCCACTTAGAGAAGAAAAACTAAATGCACAAATACAGGATTGGGAAGAACTGGCTTGGCAGCAGCACTGCTGAAAAGGAGCTGGGAGTTGTGGCGGATCACAGCTATGACATGAGTAAGCAATGCGATGCTGTTGCAAAAAAAAACCAACAAATGCAATTTTAGATTACATTAACAGAGGCTGAGCATACAAGTCACGGGAAATGACAGTACCGCTCTACTCAGTACTGGCTAGGCCTCAGCTGGAGGACTGTGTCCAGTTTCGGTCACCAATGTATAGAAAGGATGTAGAGAAACTGGAAAGGATCCAGAGACGAGGGATGAAGATGATCAAAGGGATGGAAGGGTTTCTTCAGG